AGATGTGAGAAGAGGGGAGAGGGAGGGAGGGAGGAAACGAGAGGAGGAAGGAGAGGAGGGAGAAACGGATAAAGGAAGGAGACATGAGGGGAGAGAGAGAGAAGGAACAGAGGGGGAAGGAAGGAAGATGTAAGAAGAGGGGAGAGACGGAGGGAGGGAGAAAGGAAACGAGAAAAGGAAGGAGAGGAGGGAAGAAACGGATGAAGGAAGGAGATGTGAGGGGAGACAGAAGGAACAGAGAGGAAGAAAGAAGGAAGATGTGAGAAGAGGAGGGGAGAGACAGGGAAGAAGGAAGGAAACAAGAGAAGGAAGGAGAGGAGGGGAGAAACAGGGATGAAGGAAGGAAGGAAAGAGATGTGAGGAGAGAGAGAAGGAACAGAGGGGAAAGGAAGGAAGGAAGATGTGAGAAGAGAGGGGAGAGACGATGAAAGAAGGAAGGAAACGAGAGAAGGAAGGAGAGGAGGGAAGAAACGGATAAAGGAAGGAGACGTGAGGGGAGAGAGGGAAGGAACAGAGAGGAAGAAGGAAGGAAGGAAGGAAGATATGAGAAGAGAGGAGGGGAGACACAGGGAGGGAGGAAGGAATGAAATGAGAGAGAAGGAAGGAGAGGAGAGGAGAAACAGGGATGAAGAAAGGAAGGACACATGAGAGAGAGAGAGAGAGAAGGAACAGAGGAAGTGGGAGGGAGGAAGGAAGGAAGCCGGTCGCAGCTAAATTTGGGGTTCCACCAAGTTTAGGCCAAACAACCAAAAGTTCAAAGTAGCGTTGATAAATCCTTGAATTCCCGTAATGAGCCTTGGGATGCTGTTAAGCGTATTACAGAGTTCGTGCTCCGTTCCCGTTTGGCCCGCCTCGTGCCCTGGTTTCAGAACAGGTGAGAAGAGACTTATAACACAGGATTAAATCATGTGGGCAGGGTTTATCAGTAGTGGTGGAAATGGCTTTGTGTCCACAGACTGAGATTTGTCCACTTCCTCTGTAATGTTTCCTTCCTGGCTAGGCACCTCACTGAAAAATATATCCTCGATTTAACAGCCACCGTTTATTTTATTTTATTTTATTTTATTTTATTTTATTTTTAATTTGATTTATATACTGCCCTTCTCCGGAGACTCAGGGCGGCTTACAATGCGTTAAGCATTAGCCTTCATCCTTTTGTATATTTATACAAAGTCAGCTTATTGCCCCCACAAACTGGGTCCTCAATTTACCTACCTTAGAAAGGATGGAAGGCTGAGTCAACCTTGAGCTTTGGCGAGATTCGAACCTGCAGTAATTGCAGGCAGCTGGTCTTAATAACAGGGTGCTTTAGACCACTGTACTACCAAGGCTCTATTTTATTTTTTTAATTTATTTGTCAAAACAAAAATTACACATTCTAACGGTTTAGCCCGTTCCCTCTCCTGAAGGCATGGATTTCCAACGTTGGCAACCTCATCAGTGCACTGCAAGTAAATAACCAGACTCAGAAATCTCCCAAAACGCCATAATTCAACCCTGAGCTAAATATATATTGTGTTCTATTCCTCAATAATCTGCATATCTGCTTCTGTTCCTTCTATTGTTGATGTTCCCCAAAGCTCTGGGATATTTTTCTAGAGTACCTTTTTAACATAGATTCAGTAGGGCTTTGGAAGCTTCTCTCTTTTGCAAAGATCTGCATCGTATTTGGGTTAGGCAGTATTTTTTTTCCCTTCTCCTTAAGACCAGAATGTCCAACCTTGGCAACTTTAAGACCTGTGAACTTCAACTCCCAGAATTCCCCAGCCAGCATGGAGTTGAAGTCCACGAGTCTTAAAGTTGCCAAGGTTGGACATCCTTGCCTTTAAGAGATGGGTTAAGCAATTCAGTCTTGATGAGCGCCAATCTTTTAGTCTGGTGCCCACTAGTGTTGGCTCTGAATTGTGGAAATTTTAACTCCACAGAGCAGGGTGGATTTGATTTAAATCATGATTTAAATCACTAGTAAAAAGGCTTGATTTAAATCAACTCAATTTAAATCATAATTTTTAAAGAGCAACTGTCATCTCTGCTATTCCTTTGACCCACTGTTGACTCACCGATAGTCCCAGTGTTGCAGAATATACAGCCTCGTGCTTCATAACTAAGCTCCATTTCATACTGAATAAACTAAATTATTTATGTATCTTAAATAGAAAACTATCTTACGATAGATTTTTACCCCAAAAGTTTTTTATTAAAATAAATTCGATAAAAATCAAAAAAATCCGATTTAAATCAAAAAAATCAGATTTTTTTGATTTAATTAAAAAAATCATTGATTTTTATCCACCCTGCCACAGAGTATTTCCCAACAGGTTGCAGAAGGCTAGTATAGACGGAGGTTAATACGTACATATCCACTCTGCATCAGCAAAGCTTTCATATCATCTCAAGTTCCCATGCCATGTTTTGTTTTTCCTATCTCATATCTTTGCAAGGGTGTACAGAATTTTGAGAGACGCAAGTAGATTTGTGACTCGCCTAAAGCAGAATCTTGCTTGCAGATTTGAGAATCCAGTTGAAATTGGCTTTTCTCGCCTCCAGACAGGTGGAGGGGAACAGGAATAACTGGATGAAAGGGACCTTGGAGGTCATCTAGTCCAGCCCCCTGCTCAAACAGGAAACCCTATACCATTCCAGACAAGTGACTCTCCAGTCTCTTCTTAAAAATCTCTTCATGATGGAGCTTCTGGTGGCAAGCTGTTCCACTGGTTAATTGTCCTCTCTGTTAGGAAGTTTCTCCTTCGTTCCAGGTTGCTTTCTCTCCTTGATTAGCTTCCATCCACTGCTCCTTGTCCTGCCTTCAGACAGAGAAATAACAACCTTAGCCAGGGTGGATTTGATTTAAATTGAATCGATTTAAATCACGATTTAAATCATGATTTAAATCACTAGTAAAAAGACTTGATTTAAATCAACTCTATTTAAATCATAATGTTTAAAGAGCAACTGTCATCTCTCCTACTCCTTTGACCCGCTGTTGACTCACCGATAGTCCCAGTGTTGCAGAATATACAGCCTCCTGCTACATAACTAAGCTCCATTTCATGCTGAATAAGCTAAATTATTTATGTATCTTAAATAGAAAACTATCTTACGATAGATTTTTACCCCAAAAGTTTTTTATTAAAATAAATTCAATAAAAATCAAAAAAAAAAATCTGATTTAAATAAAAAAATCCGATTTAAATAAAAAAATCCGATTTTTTAATTTTTTTTTTAAAAAATCATTGATTTTTATCCACCCTGACCTTAGCTCAGTGGTGGGTTTCAAAAATTTTTTACTACCAGTTCTGTGGGTGAGGTGCAGCTTGGTGGGCGTGGCAGGGGAAGGATACTGTAAAATCTCCATTCCCTCCCCATTCCAGGGGGGAGGGAATGCAAAATCCCCATTTCCTTCCGATCAGCTGGGACTCAGGAGGCAGAGAATAGATGGGGGGCAGGGCCAGTCAGAGGTGGCATTTACCCGTTCTCCGAACTACTCAAAATTTCTGCTACCGGTTCTCCAGAACTGGTCAGAACCTGCCGAAACCCACCTCTGCCTTAGCTCTGTTCCTGGTTTACCTCTACAACTGCATTAACACTTTTGGCTGAAACACTATTTCAGATTTGCTGGAGATATGGGAGTACCGCAGCCTTTCTGTAATTAAGGGTCCTTGGTGCTTTCTGAGCTTGCTTGTTTTCTTGCAGACGTTCCCTTACCCAACTCGGTAACATCATCAGTGCTAGTAAGGAGTACTGTTTGCTGTCAGATTTATATTCTGGTGTCTTGGCTGTTTCTTGGCTGAAAATTGCTTACTTGCTAGTTGGTCTTTTTGTAATTCTTTGCAGAGCAGGTGCTGGTAATTTTCCAGCACTTAAAAGCAGGGTGAATTTGATTTAAATCGAGTCGATTTAAATCATGATTTAAATCACTAGTAAAAAGGTTTGATTTAAATCAACTCGATTTAAATCCTAATTTTTAAAGAGCAACTGTCATCTCTGCTACTCCTTTGACCCGCTGTTGACTCACCGATAGTCCCAGTGTTGAAGAATATACAGAATATACTTGTGCTACCTAACTAAGCTCCATTTCATACTGAATAAACTAAGTTATTTATGTATCTTAAATAGAAAACTATCTTACGATAGATTTTTACCCCAGAAGTTTTTTATTAAAATAAATTCGATAAAAATCAAAAAAATCCGATTTAAATTTTAAAAAATCCGATTTTTTTGATTTTTTAAAGAAAATCATTGATTTTTATCCACCCTGCTTAAAAGTCAACATCTGGCAGTCTTGAACCTGTGGCTGAGTTGCGCATTCCAGCTGTGAAGACCGGTTAACTAGCTATCTGAAAAGAAAGCCCCTGAGGTCTTAATAAAATGGGCTGATTTGATCTTCTGATGTTCCTCCGAGATCTGGCCTGCTCTAGCGCTCATTGACACAACCAAATTAAAGAGGACCAAAATCGCCAGGCTTTCCAAAATGGTCAACTTAACCGTCAGTCATGTTTCTAGTCCCTTTGGACCCCTTCGGTTCCAAAATCATTGACCCATTCCTTGAGTTACCTTGGTTTTGGGGTGAGCCTTGATGGGTTAGAGGGAGGGTGCCCCTTTCCCTGTTGTCTGTTAGGACCTCATGTGTTCCAGTGGGGTGGGGTGCGAGGGGTTAGACTAGATGACCTACAAGGTCCCTTCCAACTCTGTTCTTAATCTGTTAATGCTGACTGCTGGCTGCCTGCCATTTGGCAGTTCGAATCTCAGCAGGCTCAAGGTTGACTCAGCCTTCCATCTTTCCGAGGTGGGTCAAAGGAGGACCCAAAATTGTTGGGGGCAGTAGGCTGACTCTGTAAACGCTTAGAGAGGGGCTGTAAAGCAGTATGTAAATCTTAAGTGCTATTGCTATTTTTTGACACACAGATCCTAAATGCATACGATTGCCTGATTCCGCTACGTTTTGCAACCTTTGGGCGCAATCCTAGTGCTGACCGGAATGTCTCTTTTTGTCCTTCCAGATCGTCCTGCATGCTGATCGCCTGTGGATTTATGGAGGGGGCTGGGCGCACTTTTGAGCACTGCCACGCACAGCATCCCTCCCGTTGAAAGAGGACAGTGTCCTGGCCAAACCTGGCCTCCTAGAGCCCCTTGGGCTTCACCATTCAGAGAGCCCGTGGATGGCTGTTGAGGTCCGCGGAAAGCTTCTACCGGCAGTTTCTCCATCCTGAGCTGCCCCGGGCTCCTCTCGCTGCCCCCAAATATTTCACATATCCAGATGGGGTAACGTGAAAGCCCAAGAGATAACATCAGCGTGTTCGCTGAATGCTGAGGCCTTTTTGAGGAGGAGGAAGAGGAGGAGGAGAAGAAGGGAAGTTGGGTGGCACTGAAGGACGACTACTTAAAATTGCACACTACGGATTTTTTTTTTTTTAAAAAAAGGAAAACAAAAACAAAAGTATTACTCAGTCTCAAGCACAGGGTCCCTTTTTTTAAAATTCGAGGATTTTAGAGAATCCAGCGTTATCCTATTTGCACAACATTTGTGTTGATTGTGAGGGGAAGGAGAGTCTGGTCAAGCTCTCGTCACTTGGTACTGTTTTTGGCTTTGCGAATCGTTTTTTTTCTCGAGAGACCACCTCGGTTTGTCTCCACCATGGCGCGCATGAACAGGCCTGCCCCTGTGGAAGTGTGCTACAAGAATATGAGGTTCCTGATAACCCACAACCCGACGAATGCCACACTGAACACTTTCATTGAGGTAAGACACCGATGAGAGAGCGCCTCTCACTGCTGGATGTAAATAAAAGTCATAGAGATGCTTGGACTTGTGAAATTTCAGGATAAACCAGGTTCTGGCCTGGTTTACAGACCATCAGAACATCACAACATTGTAGGCTTATTGTACAGGTAGTCCTCGATGTACGACCACAGTTGAGCCCAAAATTTACATAGTTAAGTGAGGATTTGTTGAGTTTTGCACCATTTTATGACATTTCTGGCCACCGTTGTTGAGTGAATCACTGCGGTGGATAAGTTAGTGACCTGGTTGTTAAGTGAATCTGTTTTCCCCGTTGACTTTGCTTATCAGAAGGTTGCAAAGAAAAGGATGACATTTCATTCATTTTCATTTCATTTTCATTTTATTAGATTTATATACCGCCCTGCTCCCGAAGGACTCAGGGCGGTGAACAGCCAAAGAGATAAAACATACAGACTACAAAATTTAAAAGACAATATAAAACCCAATTTAATAGTTTGCCCCGGAACAGATTAAAACACCCTTAAAGTTTAAAACAGATTTAAAATTTACAATTAAAAAGGGAGGTTAGGCCAGGCCAGCCTGTTGAAATAAAAAGGTCTTGAGGGCACAGCAGAAGGTGCGTAAATCCGGGATCCTCCGTATCTCCAGGGGGAGCTCATTCCAGATAGCAGGATAGACATGATTGCGGGACGCAAGTATGAACCGATCGTCAAGCCTCTGAATTTTTATCACAGAACTGTGAGGGTGCTGCAAATGTGGTGACTAGGGAAAAAAGGTCGTAAGTCACATTTTTCCAGTGCCGTTGTAACTTTGGTCATTAAATGAACTATCATAAGTCAAGGACAACCTGCAGTCTGGAAAGAGTGCAGAGAAGAGCAACAAAGATGATTGGGGGACTGGTGGCTATAATATTTGAAGAACGGTTGCAGGAATTGGGTATGTCTAGTTTAATGAAAAGAAGGACTAGGGGAGACATGATAGCAGTGTTCTGATATCTCAGGGGCTGCCCCAAAGAAGAGGGAGTCAAGCTATTCTCCAAAGCCCCTGAAGGCAGGACAAGAAGCAATGGATGGAAACTAACCAAGGAGAGAAGCAACTTGGAATTAAGGAGAAATTTCCTGACAGTGAGAACAATTAACCAGTGGAACAACTTGCCTCCAGAAGTTGTGAATGCTCCAACACTGGAAGTTTTTAAAAAGAGATTGGACAACCATTTTTCTGAAGCTGTGTAGGGTTTCCTGCCTAGGCAGGGGGTTGGACTAGAAGACCTCCAAGGTCCCTTCCAACTCTGATGATGTTCTATGTGGGTGTCGGAAGTCTGTATCCCTGAAGTAGATAATAGCCAACCTTCTCAAGGCTCACCAAGAAAACACATCTGTGAATCCTGAAGAATCAAATTGTTTTGTATGCTCCATACCTTTAGTTTAAAATAAATAAATAAATAAACAACAATTTGTCCGAGAAAGTCTTCTGTCTTCCAGCCCTATGATTCTAAGAAAATTGTCTCCCAACGATCTTCGCTTCCACTGATCCTTTTGATGGAGATTATCTCATTATCTAAAAGTGACGCTTGCACGTAGACGGGGCTACAGCTATAACTCTTCTGGCATTGATCACCTTGTGGTACCTTCTCCATCTTGGAAACCATTTTCAAGATGGAACACCTAAACAGGCAACCAGAGAGAGTTGTCCAAGGCGAGATAGTCCTTCACTCACGACCATAATGGAACCCAACATTTCTGTGGTTAAGTGAGTTTTACCCCTTCTTTCTTGACCCAGTGGTTAAGCGATCACCGCCATTGTTAGTAACACAGTTGCCAGTTGAATCTGGTTTCCCGTTTTGCGACTTTCTGGCTTCGCTTGTCACATGGCCCCGGGACACTGCAACCGTCATAAGTCCATGCCAGTTGCCAAGCCTCTGAATTTTGATTACACCACCCCAGCAAGGAATGCTGCAAAGGTCCTAAGCGCGAGAAAGAGCCGCAAGTCGCTTTTTTTTCCCCCTTGGCTGTTGTATCTTGGAACGGTCACTAAGCGACGGTTGTAAGTCAAGGACCGCCTGTATGTTCAAGAAAGGCTCCTGGTTTGAGAAGGTTTACATGGGGCCCACTTGAGATCCCAGAGCCGTTTCAAAGCAACTCTATTTTGGAAAACAGTTGCAGAGTTTTTCTCCCGGCTGAACTGAGCTTGTTCGGACAGGTTTAGGTGTGCAGCGCGATTACCTGGACCAGGTGGGTTGGTGGTTTCTTCCTCTCCTTTTTCAAGTGCTTTACAGAGATTTCACACAATAGCTTTCATCAACCTTCCATACTTTACAGATGAACAGAGTTGGAAGGGACCTTGTAGGTCATCTAGTCCAACCCCCCGTCCAAGCAGGAGACCCTACACCATTTCTGACAAATGGCAGTCCAGTCTCTTCTTGAAAGCTTCCAGGGATGAAGCTCCCACAACTTCTGAAGGCAACTTCTGTTCCACTGGTTGATTGTTCTCACTGTCAGGAAATTTCTCCTGATTTCTAGGTTGAATCTCTCCTTGGTCAGTTTCCATCCATTATTCCTTGTCTGGCCTTCAGGTGCCTTGGAAAACAGCTTGACCCCCTCCTCTCTGTAGCAGCCCCTCCAATATTGGAAGACTGCTATCATGTCTCCCCTGGTCCTTCTCTTCTCTAGACCAGCCATGCCCAGTTTCTGCAACCGTTCTTCATATGTTTTAGCCTCCAGTCCCCTAATCATCCTGGTTGCTCTTCTCTGCACTCTTTCTAGAGTCTCAACATCTGATTTTTAGTGTGGTGACCAAAACTGGATGCAGTACTCTGGGTGTGGCCTTACTAAGGCTTTGTAGAGTGGTATTAGTTACCTCCCTTGATCTTGATTGTATCCCTCTCTTAATGCATTTTAGGATTGCATTGGCTTTTTTGGCTGCCGCTGCACACTGCTGGCTCATATTTAGCTGGCTGTCCACTAAGACTCCAAAATCCCTTTCACAGTCTCTGCTATTAGTTTCCCCCAGTCTACATGTGTACTTTGGGTTTTTCTTACCTAAGTGTAAGACTTTGCTTTTCTCTACATTGAATTTCTTTTTGTTAGATAGGGCCCAGGGTTCGAGTCTGCCAAGATCTTAGCCCAAACTATGCCTTCTCCTTCGTGTGGGATGGTTTTTGTTTTTTTTTTTTTTTTTGGCATTTTCCCACCCATCTGGTCTTCCTTTTTAGTGTGCGCATAACGCATAGATATGTAAGAGGTTTGTTGTTTTCTTATGCTGTGATACCTGGCTCTCGGCCAAGGTGCGCTGTTTATAGCCGTACCTTCCCCTGCCTTCCCTCCAATGAGGCTGTGTTGTCCACAGAGGTTGCTCTAGGTTACAACTCACCAAAATTTGTTGCATACCGGCGGGGATTAAAAATAAATGCCCTTGTTTACTCTTGAATCAGCAAGAGATGGATGGGCTGGGATAGATTTTCACTTGAAAAAGATTTGTTTCGATCCGCCCGTACGGAGAGTCCTCGACTTAATGGCCGCAACCGAGCCCGAAATTGGAAAGCGAGGCAGCTGTGAAGTGCATTTTGTCCCGTTTTATGACCTCTCTTGATACCGTTGTTAAGCAAATCAGTGTAGCTATTAAGTTTATTATTTATATTTTTAGATAGATAGATAGATAGATAGATAGATAGATAGATAGATAGATATAGAGAGAAATGAGAGACAGAGATACTGTAGATAGATAGATAGATAGATAGATAGATAGATAGATAGATAGATAGATAGATAGATAGATAGATTAGAGATAGATGATAAATAGATATATAAAGAGGAGAGAGAGCGATGATAGATAGATAGATAGATATGATAGATAGATAGATATAGATAGATAGATAGATATAGAGAGAGATGATAGATAGATAGATGATAGATAGATATAGAGATGATAGAGAGACAGAGAGATACTGTAGTAGAAAGATGATAGATAGATAGATAGATAGATAGATAGATAGATAGATAGATAGATATAGAGAGAGATGATAGATAGAGATAGATAGATAGATAGATAGATAGATAGATATAGAGAGAGATGATAGAGAGAGAGAGAGAGAGATGATAGAGAGACAGACAGAGATACTGTAAAGATGATAGATAGATAGATGATAGATAGAAATAGATGATAGAGAGAGAGACAGAGAGAGATATGTAGATAGATAGATATAGAGAGAGATGATAGATAGATAGATAGATAGATAGATAGATAGATAGATAGATAGAAAAGATGATAGAGATAGATAGATAGATAGATAGATAGATAGATAGATAGATAGATAGATAGATATATAGATAGATAGATAGAGATAGATGATAAATAGATATATAAAGAGAGAGAGCGATGATAGATAGATAGATAGATAGAGAGAGAGAGAGAGAGAGAGAGATGATAGATAGATAGATATAGAGATGATAGAGAGACAGAGAGAGATACTGTAGTAGAAAGATGATAGATAGATAGATAGATGATAGATAGATAGATAGATAGATATAGAGAGAGATGATAGATAGAGATAGATAGATAGATAGATAGATAGATATAGAGAGAGATGATAGAGAGAGAGAGAGATGATACAGAGACAGAGACAGAGATACTGTAGTAGAAAGATGATAGATAGATAGATGATAGATAGAAATAGATGATAGAGAGAGAGACAGAGGAGATGCTGTAGATAGATAGATATAGGAGAGTAGAAAGAGATACTGTAGATAGATAGATAGATATAGAGAGAGATGATAGATAGATAGATAGATAGATAGATAGATAGATAGATAGATAGATAGATAGATAGATAGAAATAGATGAGAGAGAGAGAGAGAGAGACAGAGAGAGATGATTGATTGATTGATTGACCTATGGGCCATAGGCTATAAGTTCAAACACATATTACCAATAAAATTCTAAAGAAACAATTTAAAATGAGAGGAGGGTAGCTCTTCAGTTAGTCACACGGTTGTTAAGTGAATCTGGCTTCCCCACTGACTCTGCTTGTCAGGAGGTCGCAAAAAGGGCATCCGTGACACTGCAACCGTCATAAATATGAGTGTTGCCCCGTAATCATGGGGATGTTACACCGATCCTAAGTCACTTTTTCTTTTTCCAGTGCCGTCGTAATTTCAAAACAGTCACTTAAGTGAACGGTTGTCAGTTGAGATCTATCTGTATTGGAGGTTTCTGTATTGGCGTGCTTTTCATCCCACCCAGGTAGTCCTCGACTTACAACAGTTCATTTAGTGACCGTTCAAAGTTACAACGGTACTGGGGAAAGCGACTTGGGATCGTTTTCCACACTTACGACCGTTGCAGCATCCCCGTGGTCACATGATCAAAAATCAGACGCTTGTCAATTGACTCGTATTTATGACGGTCACACCATCCCACGGGGGGGGGGCGTGACGCCCTTGTGCGACCTTCTGACAAGCAAAGCCCGTGGGGACGCCAGAGTCACTTAACAACCGTGTTACTGACTTAACGACTGCAGTGGTTCACTTAATAATGGTGGCAAGAAAGGGGATAAAATGGGATAAAATTCACTTAACAGGTGTCTCACTTAACAACGTAAATTTTGGGCTCCATTGTCGTAAGTTAAGGACTACCTGTTATTTGTTTTTTGGGGGAGGGGGTTCATCTTAGTACTGAAGAGGGGTTCAGTGAGTCTCTGCTGAACTTCCCTGAACTCGTTTTTAATCGGCAACGGCTGCGGGAGGTCTATGAAAATTCACTGCAGCCAACTCGCTGCAGTGTAACTTTAGAGTTACACTAAAAAGGTAAAGGTTCCCCTTGCACATAGGTGCCAGTCGTTCCTGACTCTAGAGGGCAGTGCTCATCTACGTTTCAAAGCCAAAGAGCCAGCGCTGTCCGAAGACGTCTCCGTGGTCATGTGGCCGGCATGACTCAACGCCAAAGGTGCACGCAACGCTGTTCCCTTCCTACCAAAGTTGGTCCCTATTTTTCTACTTGCAATTTTTACCTGCTTTCGAACTGCTAGGTTGGCAGAAGCTGGGACAAGTAATGGGAGCTCACTCCGTTACGCGGCACTAGGGATTCGAACCACTGAACTGCCGACCTTTCGATCGACAAGCTCAGCGTCTTAGCCGCCGCGCCACCGCGTCCCTTCTTAGTGTAAGAGTTACGCTAATATCAAATAAACGGTGGATTAGAATCATTAAAGGAAGGATGGAAAAGGAGGGACAGAATGAAATGCGAATGGCAAAAATTAAAACAATTTTTTAATCTCTTTTAAAGAATTATATTGAATTGATAAATTGTGCTGCAGCCATGGAGAGTTGGCCATAGCAAGTTGGCTGTAGCAAGAATCAGAATCAGCCTTGTCCCCAAAGATTGCCCATGGCTCTCCCTCTAACATCTAACAAGAGAGGCTCAAGTTATTCTCCAAAGCACCGGAGGGCAGGACAAGAAACAAGGGTGGGAAATTAATTAAGGAGAAACTTCCTAACGTTGAGGACAATTAACCAGTGGAACAGCTTGCCACCAGGAGTTGTGGGTGCTTCATCACTGGAGGTTTTGAAGAAGAGACTAGACAGCCACTTGTCTGAAATGGTATAGGTCCATGATGACGAAACTATGCATTTTCATTTCATTTTCATTTTATTTGATTTATATACCGCCCTACTCCCGAAGGACTCAGGGCGGTGAACAGGCACAAGATAAAACACATAGAATACAAAAATTTTAAGAGCAGAAGTAAAATCGAGGTGGAGAGGTGGCACGCACTGTTCTCTCTATGGGCACGCAAGCCGTTGCCCCAATTCAGCTCCACCGCGCACACCTTCTGCCAGGCAGCTGGTATTTGGGTCTCTGTCCAGAATTTGGACAAAATTCAAAATGGCAGTAAAAGGTTTTAAGGGTTAAGGAAGGATTCAGCCAGGCTTCTTAAGGAACAGTGTCCTGTTCAGTTAGGGAGTCCTCGATTTACAACGATTCATTTAGCAATTGTTCAAAGTTACACAACAGCCCTGGAAAAAAAATGACTTACGACCAGTTTTTACACTTAACAACCGGTAGCGGAAATTTTGAGCAGTTTGGAGAACCGGCAAATACCGCCTCTGGCTGGCCCTAGAGTGGGGTGGGAATGGAGATCTTGCAATATCCTTCCCCCCAGGAGTGGGGTGGGAATGGAGATTTTGCAGTATCCTTCCCCTGCCACGCCCACCAAGCCACGCCTACAGAACCAGTAGTAAAAAAAAATTTGGATTTCACCACTGGGCAAAAGGGTCATAAAATGGAGCGAAACTCACTGAACAGCTGTCTCGCTTAAGCCACCGACAATTGGGGCTCAATTCTTGTCATAAGTGGAGGACTATCCCCCATATTGTTTAAACCAGGGGTCTCCAACCTTGGCTGGCTGGGGAATTCTGGGAGTTGAAGTCATCCAGGCTTAAAGTTGCCAAGGTTGGAGACCCCTGGTTTAAATTACTTCCAAAATTGGCAGGTCCATCACCCAAAAACCAATCTCAATAGGCATCGCAAGTATCCTAACTTGACCCACCTTTATGGAACCAAGGTGACTCGGATAATGACCTCGGGACCTTCAAGTCCTCAAGTCTTCTGACTTACGATTGCTAAGAATCTGACAACAGCATCTGCTTTGGGCCATCTCAAGAGGAGAAGTCTAAGGAAAGGATTGTGTAACCTCTAAACTAAGCATGAGATGTTCGAAAACAAAATTCTTCTCACCCAAGAAACCCGAGAGGGTTGGCCACGCTGTTTTCCCCCGTGGTCAACCTCTCCACCCACATAGCTTTCCGGCCACATTTTGGCCGTTAAGAAGAATTAGTGTGGTCCTTAGGTACCGAAAATAGCTCTAAAATCTTCTCTCGGTCAAAGGGATTATGATTGGCAGGCCTTTAATGTCAGGGTATCAATAGATCCTGCGTTTTGTTGTTTTGACAGCAATAGCACCTAGATTTATGCAGGTAGTCCTCGGATTACGAGGAGTGGGGCGGTGGCCTAGAGGTCTCGCCTCACAATCAGGAGGCTGTGAGTTCGATCCTAGGTAGAGGCAGATATCTCTCTCTCTCTGGGCACACTGAGAACGTATCTGCTGAACAAAACTCCGCGTTGCCAACAGGAAAGGCATCCGGCCACTCAAACACTCTGCGAGCTCCATTCAGTTGCCCAGACTCCACCCCGCAAGGGATTATGGCGTCATTAAAAGACAATGATGAGTCCTCGGATTATGAAAGTTCAGTTAGTGACTGTTCAGTTACAAAGGGACTTAAGCCCGTTTTTCACAGCGACGGCCTCTGAAGCCATCCCCGTAATCCTGGGATCAAAATTCAGGCCCTTGGCAACTGCTCCATACTTAGGACCATCGCCGTGTCCCGTGATCTCCTTTTGTGACCTTCCAACAAACAAAGTGGCTACTCTAGTGAAGAGAAAGGACCAGGGGAGACAGGATAGCAGTCTTCCAATATTTGAGGGGCTGCCACAGAGAGGAGGGGGTCAAGCTATTCTCCAAAGCACCCAAAGGCCAGACAAGGAACGATGGATGGAAACTGATCAAGGAGAGATTCAACCTAGAAATAAGGAGAAATTTTCTGACAGTGAGAACAATCAACCCATGGAACAGAAGTTGCCTTCGGAAGTTGTGGGAGCTTCATCACTGGAGGCTTTCAAGAAGAGACTGGACTGCCATCTGTCAGAAATGGTGATGGCTAACCTTTTTGCCGTTGCGTGCCAAAAGCTTGGGGGAGCGTGGGAGGGGGGGTCGCACACACCCATAATTCAATGTGTCTGGCGCATATGTGCACAACCTCACCGCACGACCACCGCTTTTGGCACACGATGGTATGGTGGGCCCAGTAGGTCCGTTTTTTGCCCTCCCCAGGCTCTAGAGGCTTTCTTGGAGCCTGGGGAGGGTGAAAATGGCCTTCCCCACCCCCCCAGAGGCCTTCTGGAGGCCAGATACGGCCCATTCCCTGACTTCCGGTGGGACCAGAAGGCCCGAAAATCAGCTGGCCAGCGCGCACATCCACACTGGAGGTGAGCTACGCCAACACTCGCGTGCCCAGAGATATGGCTCCGCGTGCCACCTGTGGCACATGTGCCATAGGTTTGCCATCATGGGTGTAGGGTTTCCTGCTTGTACAGGGGGGCGGGTTGGACTAGATGACCTACAAGGTCCCTTCCAACTCTGTTAATCTGTTAAAGTCGGTAGGGAAGCCAGATTCATTTAAGAAGCGGGTTACAAACTTGGCTGCAGGAATTCACTGAACAACAGTGGAAAGGAAGGTTGTAAAACGGGGCAAAAGTCACTTAACGTCTCAGTTAAGGACAGAAATTCTGGGCTCGGTGGCATACATCAAGGACTCCCTGTATACCACTCCCTAGTGTTTTACAACATCCTCCTGAGTGATTTACGAATGTCAGCCTATTGCTTCCAACCAATAAGCAAAACAATTGTCGAGTGAGTTTTGCCCCGTTTTACGACCTTTTCTTGCCGCCGCTGTTAAAGGAATCACTAGTTAACCGTAACGAAGTTGTTCGGTGAATTCCAGCTTCCCCCTTGACTTGGCTTACCCGAAGTTCGCAAAAGGAGATCACATGACCGCGGGAGCCTGAAACAGGCATAAGTACATGCCAGTTGCCAAGCAATCTGAATGTTGATCACGTGAGCACAGTGGTAAGTGTGAAAAGGAGTCTAAGTAATCCCAAATATTTTCTCCCTTTTTTTCTTCCTCCCCCCCCCCCAGGACCTGAAGAAATACGGCGCAACCACAGTTGTGAGAGTGTGTGAAGTGACTTACGACAAGACGCCCCTGGAAAAGGATGGCATTAAAGTGATGGTGAGTCTCTTCCTTTGAAATTTTCTTTTATTTTTATCATCTGAAGCCACCGAGAGGATCAAGCATCCCAAATGGAAGAAATGTAAGTCCTCGACTTATAACAGTTCATTTAGTGACCATTGGGAGTTACAACGACACTGAAAGCTGTCGATCTGTGACCGGCTTGTTTTACAACCCTTGTCCCTTATGGTCATAACCCAAGGGCTACTCTGTAGTTAAATGCTTTTGGGGTAGTCCCCAACTGTGATGGGCCATTGCAGTGCCAAGAGGGATGATGGGAATTGTAGTCCGACTTAGAAGAAAGGCACCCAACTGGGGGAAGTTGATTGAAGTTAGCTGCTCTAATTGTGTTGATGGTACATCGATCCACGCATGACCATTTCAATCAGAAGTGGTATTCAGCCGGTTCGGGAGAATCAGTAGTGGCAACCTGCGGGTGGGCCTGGGCGCAATCCCGTCCTATTTCACTGTGTTTTTGATGTCGCACGCATGTATGGACGATGTGCACGAGCAAATTGCCGTGTCTGACATCGCACGCATGCGCAGATAGCACACTCGCACATTTCCGGTGCTGGGCGAACCGGTTGCTACAATATGTGAAGCCCACTTCTAATTTCAGTGACAGCCAGCCAATTCTTAGTTATGTGGGTCCACCTCCCATCAGAAGTTCTCCCATCAGGCCCCTGTTGTGGTCCGCCAGCAGCCTGCGGAGCTGGCAGCGGAGTCAGACAGTGAGGAGGCTGGGGAGGAACATGGGCCAATCCTGGAGTCTGGGGAAGGCCTGGACGAGGGCTCTGCGTCGGAGGCAGAGATGGGGCCAGGGCCATCAGGGAGTTATGCGCAGACTCCGGAGCCTCCAGAGTTGGACATCAGAGAGGCAGAGCAACAGGAGGAGCCTGTTCCTAGTGCGCACATGCGCAGAGCTGTCAGAAGGCAAGAACAGTTAAGACTAAAGAGACAACTCGGGAGTAAGGCCTGGAGATGATTGTCCCCTCCCATAAGGCTTAAAAGAGGAACAAAGGCACGTGGGCCCTTTGCAGGAAAGCAACGTTGTTAATTCTGTTCCCAGTCGGCATCTCTGTTCGATTCTGGACTCCGTGTGGCTTTGCCAAGTAGGTCTTTGGCAGCGTGTCAAGGGAGATAAAGGTTGATGATTATCCCGAAGGACTTTTTGCAACTAATTGGGACTCAGCTGTGAATGAACATAATTCACAGCTGTTGCAATAAAAGAGGTTTTTGGGACTACTCGTGGGTTTTAATGACTCAGGAAGCCGAGGTCACAACAGCCCCCAGTTTTGGCTTCAGTGAGTTGTGTTGCACGGTTTGTAAGGCAAAGGAGGACTTGGGCAGCCTCTCGGCGGTTGCTTCCTGCCCGCAACCGAGTGCCAATCCTGAGTTGCAGGTGAAGGATGGGATCAAAGAACGCCTCAGATGCAGGTGCTTTAATCTTAACCTTCTGGGCTTTCCGTTTAAAACACCAGGGGAGGAAGGGGGGATTGTGAAAAGAAATGTACATTTTGATTGAAAAAGCACAAGCCGCTTCATGTATCCTGCATCATCCTCATCCCAGCTGTCGGTCTGGAATGGCACCAGTTCTTCATTTCTAACGCAACTTTTTTCGTTTCCAAAATTCCTCCCCCCCCCCCTCCCAGAACTCTCTTCTTGGGTCCAGAGATTGCTAGAAAGCCGAGAGTGGGATTTTAAGAGCTTCCCTTGGTCTCTGACATCTCATAGGGCTCTAAGGCAGGGGTCTCCAACCTTGGCAACTTTAAGACTTGTGGACTTCAACACCCAGAAAAGCTGGCTGAGGAATTTTGGGCATTGAAGTCCACAAGTCTTAGGGTTGCCAAGGTTGGAGACCCCTGCTCTAAGGCCACCAGGGTTTAGTGTAATATCACAGCAATGTCCCACCTGAATCAAGATCAGGAGTGTTAAGGAATATGTGCAGAGTAACCCCTGAGTAGCAAGGGTGTGCACATGAGAAAACAGCTGAGAGTGATTTTGAATACAGACACACTAGTTGTGATATTCTTTTACATTTAGGAAAAAGCAAAGCAAAGTCCAAAAAACAATCCAGATCATACACAGATAAAGATAGTTAATTTGTCAATCCAGGGATATTCCAAGAATAAAGTCTTCTTACCATTTGTTGTAGTCATATGCAATAAAAACAGTTCTTTTTAGAGTTGCATACAGGAACAAGTACAGTAAAACAATCAGTAAAACAGTAGAAAACAACAAGTAGCAATGATCAAGCAGTGATCATGCAGAGAGAACAGGCAGAGAGGAGCAGAGGTAGCAATAATAATGTAATAAGAACAATAAGCCATGATTCAAGCTTCCTCTTAAGTATGTTGGCTACAGAGCTAGCCAATCAGAATACAGTATGATGCAATACAGCATTACAGTCTTAAAGCTATAACTTACATTTTGACTTGCAAACACGCATTGATGGTTTATATATATATTGCCAACCCAACCAGTTAGGCAATAGCTATTTCCTAACAAGGAGAAACACTGCTGGGGGGTGGGGGTGTCCCATAAGTCTTCTCCATCCTCCCTCCACCATCTTTAATTGCCTGGGTCAGTGCCTGTACAGGTACAGTCAAGCCCAAAATTTCCGTCGCTAAGCAAGAGATTAGTTAAGGGACTTCTGCCTCATTTTATGACCTTTTTTTTTTGCCATGGTCGGTAAGCGAATCCTTGCATTTCATAAGTTAGTCACACGGTTGTTAAGTGAATCTGGCTTCCCCATTGACTGCTTGGTCGCAAAAAGGATCATGTGGCCCCGGGGTGCTGAAACTGTCATAAATACGAGTCAGTTGCCAAGCGTCTGAATTTTGATCACCTGACCACAGGGATTGCTGCAACGGTCGTAAGTGTGATAAACGGTCATAAGTCACTTTTTCCAGTACCATTGTAACCTCAAACGGTCACTAAACAAATGGTTGTGTACTATAACCTTGAGGACTACCTGTACTCCCATTTTGAGGACTTATTTAACAAACACCTCAAATATTCCCTTAATCCTCTTGCTGTTAGTTGAAAATGTCCCCTTTGGTCTCTGGTTTTCTTCTCCAGGATTGGCCCTTTGATGATGGAGCTCCACCACCCAACAAAATTGTGGACGACTGGCTCAACCTGCTGAAGACCAAATTCTGCGAAGACCCCGGGTGCTGCGTCGCTGTCCATTGTGTAGCTGGCCTTGGACGGTGAGTGCCACCCCAACGGGCGCAGATACAATAAAAACGATTGTGTCTTTTGTTGTTGATGTTTCCCTTTGCACAAAACTACGCAGTTATCCATGGCCAAGAGAAGTACTACCTTCCCTGATTTAAGATGTATGTGATAGAAAAACATTTGTTGATTGGCACTTGGTCTAGGATGCAACTTGGCAACTTTTAAGATGACTTCAACTCCCAGAATTCCTCAGCCTTGGTGGGATAATTCTGGGAGTTGAAGTCTGTCAGTGTATAAGAGTTCATGAATTGCAATAGACATGGCAACAGGTCAGCCAATGGGGACTGTTTGGTGACTCAGACAGTTTGGAGCCTGGGCGTGGCTTAGCTTGACTGTTACGTATAAAAGAGCTGGTTTTTTTTTTTTTTTTTAATTTGATTTATATGCCGCCCTTCTCCGGAGACTTAGGGCAGCTTACAATGCGCTAAGCAATAGCCTTCATTCTTTTGTATATTTATACAAAGTCAGCTTATTGCCCCCACAAACTGGGTCCTCATTTCACCTACCTTAGAAAGGATGGAAGGCTGAGTCAACCTTGAGCCTTGGAGAGATTTGAACCTGCAGTAATTGCAGGCAGCTGGTCTTAATAACCAGCTTAATAACAGGGTGCCTTAGACCACTGTACTACCAAGGCTCCAAGGCTCCAAACCAAGGTTTGTCTTTGCATTATTGCTTCTGTGATTCTATAGATTCTGTGCTCCTGGATTCTGAGTTCTGGTTCTGGCTTCTGCTGCATGGATATTGTATACATGCATCATGCTTTATATACTGTATAATAAAGAAGGTTCTTTTATACATGAATCCTGCTGAATTCTTTACTTGTGTGCTGGTTGGATTGCGGCAAACTCTAACAAAGTCTCCCCCCCCCACCGCCCCATCTTAAAATTGCCAAGTTTGAAAAACACAAGTCTAGAGGTTCAGTTTTGTGTACAACAAGAACGTAACATGGAATTTTTCAACCAGGAATTCTTTTTTTTTTTTTCCCTTCAACCTGGGTGTCCTGAATTATTTTTTTTCATGTCTAGGGCTCCAGTTCTGGTCGCGCTGGCCCTGATTGAGAGTGGGATGAAATACGAAGATGCCATCCAGTTCATTAGACAGTAAGTGCTCCTCTAGAAACCTCTGGGCCACCTGTTCTGGTGGAGACGAACGACCCCAGATCAGTGGGCAACTACTTGGCACATCCCAAAGGAACAGATAGTTGATAGGAACCTGTCCTCCTGGGGTGTACCACTTCGATACAGCCTAGAGAGGGAAAGGGAGAAGGGGAGAGAGAGAGAGGAAGAGAGAAAAGGGGAGCGAGACAAAGGGAGAAGGAGAGGGAGCAGGGGAGAAGGAGGTGAAGAGGGAGAAGGAGAGTGAGAGCTAGAGAAGGGGAGACAGATAGGGAAGAGGGAGAAGGAGAGAGAGAGAAGGGGAGAGGGAGGAACAAAGGGAGAGGAAGAAGGGGAGGGGGAGAGAGAAGGAGAAGGAGGAGAAGGAAGTGCTTAAAATCCCCCCTCCCCAATCCATAACAAAATTGTAATCCATGCATTAACTTAAGCGTCAGAAACTGCTTAGAATCTAATTCTCCATGTAGAGTTGCATCTCACCTGGTAGTGGGATAAGCATTCATTCCTGTGTGCAGTCCAAATTCTGTTTGGCCCAAAGTCACCCAGCCAGCTTTCATGCCTAAAACGGGACTAGAACTCACTGTCTCCTGGTGAGTGGCTCAAAGTCACCCAAGCCAGCTTTCATGCCTAAGGTGGGACTAGAACTCCCCGTCTCCTGGTGATTGGCTCAGTCACCCAGCCAGCTTTCATGCCTAAGGCGGGGCTAGAACTCCCCGTCTCCTGGTTTCTAGCCTGGGCCTTAACCACTAGACCAGAGTGTCTCTTCCCTACATGGCAAGGTGCTCTTCTCTTTCAGACATGTTGAAGAGCGCACAGCATGCTTTTTCCTCCTCTTCCTCCTCTTCTTCTTCTTCGCAGGAAACGCCGAGGAGCCATCAACAGCAAGCAGTTGACCTACCTGGAGAAATATCGGCCCAAGCAGCGCCTGCGTTTCAAGGATCCCCAGAACCACAAGAACAAATGCTGCATCATGTAACTTCCGGGGTGTCTCCTTGCCGGAACCCCCCACCCGAAGGGGAAGACGAAACCCTGCCACACTCAAAACGCACACAGGGCTTGTACTTCTGAAGTTTGCAGAGGACATTTTTTTTGTCACGACTTTTCCCACCTCTCCCCCCCCCCCCTTTTTTTTTTTTTTTTTTTTTTTCCCCCAACAAAGGGAAACCCGTGTTTCCCCCCCCCCCCCCCCCCCCCCCCCTTTGTTTGGTTTCAAAGGCTTGAAATAACGGTGGCTTTTTTCCCCCTCCCTCCGTCCCCCTCCCTCTCTCCTTTCCTTTCCCAAACATTTTGTCTTGTCAAAAAGCTCTTTGTAACGACATCGACTTTCAATGCAATAACTCCGGAGCGTCTTCTTTCTCCGGAGAACTTGATGGATGGTTTAAGGAATGAACTAGCTAAAGTAGGAGGCCGTAGGATTGGCAGGCCTGTAGTTAAAATAAGATAAACCTAGATACACCGTGGAGCTGAGTTAGTTGGGGGTACAAGGGGCTATTGTGGTAGGCTATTGTGGTTGGTTGGTTTGGCTTTCATGTTTGAACAGGTAGCTGGGTCATCCTTTCTTGGAAGGGTTGTGGGCCAACCCGTTGAGGAGGAGGTAGGACATCACCTGGTCTGTAGAGATGAATCCACTGATCCTGATGCCTCCTTCACGTGTCACGATCCCCCTCACTGCCAGCTATATGCTGTTTTTCTTTTTTTATATCCTAGCCCATGAAGTCATCAAATTTCCCCATCGGTCAGATAGGCGTTGCTAATTTCGGATGTCTTGGAGAGAAGAAAGTTGGTCGAGGTTGGAAGTTGGGAGACAGGAAAGGTGAAGAGAGAACCGAAGGGATTTTTTTTAGGAAGGTGGCGGAAAGGAGGTTTGGGAATTGCAAAACGGGAATGGGAGGAGGTGGGAGTTATTGATCGTACGGAGTGGCGCTTGATTTGGGTGGGGTCTCGGTATCGCTGGCCGCAATAAGTTCAGACATTTTGAGGAGGAAGGTAAGAAAATCCCTTTTCCGGAGGTTTTTTTTTTGTCTTGTGGAAGTGTCTGGCTGAGAATCATTTTTCATAAACATTCAGTATTGACTTTGTGGAATTAATGTTTTTAAATAAAGCCTTTTCACATCCCCAGTGATTTTATGGACCTAGAGGAGAAGGCATCAAACTTGGCAGCTTTAAGACTTGTGGACTTCAACTCCCAGAATTCTCCAGCCAGCTATGCTGGCTAGAGAATTCTGGGAGTTGAAGTCCACAAGTCTTAAAGCTGCCAAGTTTGAAGACCTCTGGCCTAGAGCAAGGATGGAGATGGCCCTTCTATGACTTGTGGACTTCCAACTCCCAGAATCCCTGAGCCAGACTCAGGAATTCTGGGAGTTGAAGTCCACAAGTCATAAAAGAGCCATGGTTCCCCATCCCTGACCTTGAGCAAGGGTGGGCGACTATGATCCCTTCACGACCTGTAGACTTCAACTCCCAGAATCCCTGAGCCACCATGGCTAGCTGTGGAATTCTGGGAGTTGAAGTCCACAGATGAGAAAGGGGGCCATGGTTGCCCACAGGGGACTCTTTTTGAGTTTTACAGTTTTCTCCAATGTGTGTGCAGCGAACATTTATTTGTACATACTTCCTCATCTGACACTCCTTGTGAGGAGACGTGTGTCCTCACAAATCACCAGAACTATAATATCCATTTCAGTCCTAGTGACTCAGGAGACCGATTACAGCCTCTGATGTGTAGTTCTTTGATTTGGGCCTTATCCTCTTACTCGCTATATATATATATATATATTCAACTGCCAGTTGTTGTGTTTTATCCATGGAAACACAGGTGCCTGCATAGATCTGGGGGCATCTCCTGGCCCCCCCCAAAACTGCCCAAGACTTGTTTCTGTTAATCCAGAAAAATCTCCCTGAGTCAATCCAGCCTGTCAACTCCACTTGAACTCATGAAGGAGTTGAGATTTTTTTTATCTGTCCTCCTGTTTCTATATTTATAATTTTGTTTTTTGAAATCGCTGACTGGTTTTTTTTAATGCGGATGGATGAGGGCTGGGATTTGAAAGGCAAGAGATGAAATGAAAAATAAGAAAAGTTTCACCAAGACCCCTGAAATAAATCCCATCCAGTAAAAGCTCAAAGTGGACAAGGAAGTTGGGTGTCCTTCTCCCTTTCTTAGAGACCTTGGGTTTTATCTTCATCTTTTGGATATGTGGTTGGAAAAATATTGTGGAAGAAACTTCCTAAAGTCCTGTCTTGGGTAACTAATCTCCCCTCTCCTCCCTCTCTTAAGGCAGAGCCATTTTAAGTTCCTTTTATAACATAGTCTTCCTGCCCCGAGCTTAAATCCAATTTTGCCAGCCGGTGTGATGTTCTTCCACAGTCATCTCTGGGGGCCTCCTCTGTGGAGAGAGAAAAGGAATCATGAGATTGAAAATGGAGAACCTTAAATTGATAAAATAAGGTTTCATCCGTCAGCTTTAGGTTATTTAGCAATGATCCAATGGTCCCAGAAGGAGACTTATATGAGCTTAGATTCTGGATGAAGGATGCTCATTTTAGTTGGTGGTATAGAAGACAGGTAAATAAGTGAAGTTTTGCCACCTGCCTTGATAACCTACAGAGAACATGTGATTTTTGAAGACAAGGATTCAGCAGAGAACTTGGATCATAGTTTGATTTAGCTCTTTGCAGATTGTGAGACGTCCTAGAAGCCCCCAAAACATTGTCACCCACATGTTGCTTTCTCTCAAAGCCTATTCTTGTGAGTATCACTGCACAAACTCTTGACTGATGTTTCAAGAGGTTTTCTGGATTTTGGAGACTCTTTATCTTTGCAGAGCTGCTTCATATGGTCTCTCTCTCTCTCTCTCTCTGGAGCATCCAACTAGTTACTTTTCTAGCTTAGCTTTGGGACATGTGGTTGGTTTCTAAGGAGGAACATCCTATCTTGAAGCTTCCATCGCTTTCCTATTTTTGAACATGCTGCTAGGATCCATGGATGTTCTGGCAAAGCCATATCCTTCCAAAGAGTTGGGTTGAATGAAGACCACGATAGAACTATCTTAGGGGTGAAGTGAAGTCAACGCAAGTCCGTCCACCGATTCCTAAGGATCTGGTTTGGCTTCCGGTTAGATAACGGACTATTGTTAATGTTGCCTGTGGATCGTAATTTTGGGTAGAAAAAAAATCAGAAGGATTCTGTGGTAACGCTTTTTCCAAATTTTAAAAAAAAAACTATTAAAAGTGAGCTCCCTTTCATCAGATGCCTAATTCTGGATCGTGGTTTTCCCATTCTTGTCACTAAGATAGCGTAATAAGACTTATGAGGAAGTCCAGAGGGGGACTGCTCCAAGTCTTCCTTGTAGAAGAGATGGCTTCTTTGCATCTCATTTTGGAGAAGGATTCTTGGTAGAGCAAGAACTTCTTCTCCTTTCTCCAAATTACTGTGGAAGCTTCCAACATCATTGTGTTCAGGAGCAGATAGCATCCTTCCTACCAGTCTTATTAGCAAACCCGTCCATAGAGAGGCCCACTGAGGTCATAATATCCAGCCCTGTTTGACACAGGAATCCAAACTTGAAGCATCTCAGATGGATAACTGTCCCATCTTCCACCCAACAAACGGAAGGCCATCACATCTCCGGAACGTTAGTTCCATTGTTTTTGTTTTTACTGGTGGGACATTTTTCTTCATGTTCATCTAAAATATGAACAAGTGAATGCAGCTGATTTATTTAGAATTTTAGACAGTTGTTAAAATCACCCAAGAGTAACCTTTAGCCCTTCATCCATCTTTGATAAGCCTCAAAACTGTGGTCTCAGCAGCATTAGGAATTCACCAATTGCGTATATATGAATGTGGACGTAACCTGGATCGTTCCTTCTCAGACTTGGTACTCTGGCCTGGTTCTGCGGCCTGTTGATCAAAGGGAGGAGAAAGTAGTTGTTTTAAAGACTCTGGTTTCCCAGATGTCTTGTGAGAAGCAAGTGACGGTCTGGATAACCACCATGTTGTCTCTCCTCAACTGTTCTCCATTCAGCCTTCTCTGATTTCTAAACTTTGGCAGTTGCTAAGTTTCTTCCATCGGACTGGAATCCTCCAACTTGAACATGTGACAAACAAGCAGTTCTTTCCATGCAACCTATTTCCATTGCAACAGAGGCAAAGGGGGTCTTTCAACCCTGTTCCTACTAGGGGTCTGTGCTCTGGCCATTAAAAATTTGCAAAATGATGTGTCCGAAAGAACAGCGGTCCCCATATTTTGCCGTTCAGCGGCCCGGCTTGGTGTGTGTGTGTGAGGAGGACGGGGCCACGCGAGTGGCGGGCCGGCACGTATCTGCACACAGCTCGACTCGCGCAAGCGGTGCGCCACATCCACACAGCTCAGTTGCAAGTTGAGTTGTGCGCGAAGGCTCACTGGCCCACAACTCGTGCAGCCCAGTTGTAAACAGGCCGCAGCCTGAGATTGGGGACTCCTATCAAAAAAAGCCTTTCAAAATTGCTTTGCTTGATTCTAGCGCATACATTGAAGACGGCTTTCAGCTCCTACCAAGATATAAACTGTCTTACTAAGTACTGTAATCTCCTCAGCCATTGTCCAGACACTTCCTTCAAGATCATGAGATCTAGAAACTTCCCCCTTTTTAAAAAAAAAAACAATGACATTTAAGTGACTGCCCACGTGGCTTGCAATCTGTTCCTCATTCCAACTAGGGAGCTAAAGCTTGACTAAGCGCGTTCTTCCTGCAAAGTTTTGGGGTGCCTCTTTCAATCTACTGGTGCTGTTCCTGGCATGGGTGAGCCAGTTGAATTCTGGCTTGATTTCATTGCTTGGGAAACTCTTTTCCTGGGTGCTTCACAAGAACAGCTTCCGTGCTTTGTGAAAAAGCTTTGGCTGTTTAAAAAGTTGTATAATTTTAAGAGTTGCAAAGTGCAGGTTATCCTCGCCTCAGACAATGCTGGATCACTCAAGTCCCTTTTGAAAGTGGGATGTTTGGAAACAGCATTTCCCCCACCCACTCACCCAAAAAAAGAAGAATGGCCCGTTCTAAAATTGGCCTGTTTTGGAATGAAAATATTTTGCACACTTCCCTGTCTGTTCTTGGCTGTTTTGTGTATGGGCATCGAATAAAATGGCAGGCAGGC